CTGCAAAATAATAATAATAATAATAATAATAATAATAATAAATAATAATAAATAAATAAAATAAAATAAAAGAGGCCTTGTGGTCACGAAGACCACAGGAGAGGAGAGATGCGGTGCTTCTTGGTAGCATTATTCGTTTGCAAAGCAAATGAGCTGTGCTCCCCTCCCAAGCCCATTTACCTCAGGCAGATGGTTCCCTTTGGTCTATTCTTGAGGTTCACCTAAGACCTGACCTGCTCTTTGGACTTTGGGCCTGGCTGGACCTTATGCGTGTGGTCAGAGGATAGCGGACCTTCAAGACCCCAATCCTGGCTGTATGCTATCTACAGCTAGTGCTCAAGAAGAACAAAGTCGTGTGGTGGCCCATGCTCATAGCCCCAGCATTTGAGAGGCTGAGGCAGGAGAATCAACCCAAGTTTGGGGCCAGTGTGGGCCAGAGAGTTCCAGACATGCCTTAAGTACACAGGGAGACCCTGTCTCAAAAAACCAAAAAACTTGCAGGGCATGGTGGCCCATGGGAGGCTGAGGCGGGTGGATTGCCACGAGTTCGAAGCCGGCCTGGGCTACACAGTAAGTTAAAAGGCCAGCCTAGCTACTCAGTGAGACCCTGTCTCATAACAAAACGAAAGAAAACAAAAGCAATGAAAAACAATACAAATACAAGAAAAACAAAACAAAACAAAGAACAAAGGACCTCCCAAATCAGGTCTCTGCGGTTCCGGTGGCCCGCAGCCCCGCCCTGCTGATGTCTGACCCGTGGGCAGGGCTGGCCGTCCAGGGATGGTGTCCCCGCGGGGACAGCACTCCAAGACCTGGAGCGAGGACCAGGGAAGAGAGACCTGCGCTGCGGGCAGCAGGCCCGGGGGCACCTGCGGGCCTCGGAGGAGCCAGGAGCTTCGCGCTTCCACTTCAGAGCCGTCGAGGGGCGCCATCTCGGCTCCCGTACCGCCGCCTACGGGACGCACGGAGCCACGCCCCGGGCGCAGCAGGCCACGCCCCGAGCCGCACAGGCCACGCCCCCCTCGGGCCGCCCCTCGGGCCGCCCCTCCTCCTCTCTCTGCGAAGTGACGCGGGCGCGGCCGGCTACTGCCACTATTTCGGTGTCTCAGCGAGCGGAGCGGCAGCAGCGCAGCCACCATGGGGGCCCAGCTGAGCACGGTAGAGAGGCGCGGCCTGGGCCTCGCAGGCGCTTGGCCCTCGGGGGCGCGGGGATGGTTCCGGGAGGCTGGGCCTTTGCCGTCGCCGCGCCCCCACTACCGCGTCCCTCCCTGGGCGCGCCCCTGTCCCTGCACCCGGCTTCCCTTCTTCCGGCGGGGACTTGGGCGTGCGGGGGCGGTACCAGGGGGCGCGCGTTGCGCAGCAGCGCGAAGGATCGAGTGTGCGCCGTGTGCCCGGGTGTGAGTGAGAAAGTTGGAGTGTGACTAAGCACGTGTATGTGCGAAGTGCTGTGCGCCACACGCGTGTGCGGACAAGCGATCTTGCGAATGTGAAGTATGGCTGCGTAGGCGTGAGTGAATGGGTGTGTGCTAACGGGTGGCTGTGCATCGCAGTGGGTGTGGGCAGTCTGGGTGCCTGAGTGTGAAAGCACATGTAAGTGTGATCAAGCATGAATGCGTGAGCGTGAATGTGAGTGGGTGTGGACGAGTGTGGATTGTGAGTGTGAATGCATGAGTGAATGTATACAAGTGTGAGAATGTGAGTGTCCTGGAGTGAGAATTTGTGAATGTGAGTGTGAATGCCGTTTGTGAGAATTGTGCAAGTATATGCAGGACTAAGAATGTGTGTGAGTGCAAGGGTGAATGTGTGTGTGTGCAGTGTGAGTGTGCACCGGGCTAGTGGAGCAGAGGCTCTGCACATCTCTTGGCAGGGCAGCAGCACTCAGTGTGGCCCTGGGCGCCACCTGCAGGCTCCTGCCCCTGTCACCCTGTCTCTGTCACCGGGCCGGGCCTGTCCCCTCCGCAGATGATGTGGCACCTTTAGGACCTGGCTTTGGGCCCAAAGCACTGAGGGAGGGGGGCTGGGCCTCTGGGCTCCAGCCCCCCCCTCCGTTCTTACTTTATTTTTATTTTTGAGGCTGTTCTTGCTGATTGCCCTGGCTGGCTAATCCTCTCCGGTTTCTCAAGATCAGCCTGGTCAGATCACCCTCCCACTCCCCACTTGCACCCTGCCTGAGCTGTGTGTGCCAGGACTCCTGGGGTGGGAAGGCTGGAACCTCTGCCCAGGCACTGTCTCTGGGCCTCCAGGCTCCAAGGCTCCTCCTTGGGGAGGCAGGTACCAGGCCTCTGGGCCCTGAAAGTGTGGCCCAGCCCAGGCTTCTGGGGTGGGGCTCGGGCTGCAGGGCAGTGGGCTTCGGCAGCCGCTGGGCCACACAGCCTGCATGTCGCAGCAGAGGTGGCCCTCCTCCTTCCTCAGGGTCCATCCTCGCGTGCCCAGGCATCTCACCTTCCAGTAGGTGCACCAGGGTGCTTCCTGCCTTCCTGTCTGTCTCTAGGGGCAGGGGACGCTCATCAGCCCCTGGCCTCATCTGTCCAAGGGGTTCTGGGCATTGCCCTGTGCAAACCCCAGCCAGGCCCCCTGCTCTGCAGGCCCCATGGCATCCCACATGCTCTGCAGGGTGCTGAGACTGGCGTGGCAGCCTCTTATCTAGGCCCTGCAGGCCCTGTGGGAGGCGCCTGCAGCACTAGGGGCCTGGTCCAGGGGTTGGCACTTGGGTCTGCCGGCTGCCCCGGGAGGACACTGGGGGTCTGCCTGCCGTCCTTCACTGTGGCTCCCCTGTCTGCCAGCCCAGCCACGAGTGAGTGCCCACCTGGCCCAGACAGGCCCACTGCACAGGTAGGGTGTGCAGCTCTGTGTCCAGGGAGCAGGGCCAGGTCTTCCCAGCCTAGGGCACCATACCATACACCTGCCCCATACTGGGTCCCCCCTGTCTTTGGAGCTGGCCTGAGCCCTGCTGTGGGGCTTCCTTCCTCCTTCCCTCCCACTTCCTCACACTGAGATGGGCCCTGAGCCCAAGGGAGGTGGTCAGTTGGATCCTGCAGACAGTAGTGGCTGGGCAGTGGACAGGTAAGTGAGTCACCGGTGCTCTGTCTGGGCCCCAACTCAGGGAAGTGGCACCCAGGGATCACAGTGGGCAGTGTCAGTGGGTAGCTGGATGGGGCCTCCCGTCAGTGGGGAGCCAGGCAGGGAGCCTTGGGCTGTGGTAGGGAGCGGGAGCTCCCCATGATGTCCTGGACTCTGAACCCAGTTTCCTCCTCCTGCTCTGGCAGGCAGTATTGACTGAGGGCACCAGGTCAGAGTCTGGCAGGCAGCTGTCCTGAGATTCCCAGGCAGCTGAGTGAAGTGGCATCTGCCTGTGCTGAGGGCAGGGCTTGGCCACAGCCAACTGCCACCTGTGCGCTTGGCCTTTGTGGTGACACGGGGTGAAAACAGTGCACACTGGCCTGGTTCTGGTCAGGGCTTTGACTTAGCAACACCTCGCCACTGCTGGGCACCCAGCACCCTCCCCTCCTCGTGTCTGTCCCCTTCCTCTCACCTGAGCTCCTCAGGGTGGGGCCTCTTGGCTTGTGGCCTCCACTTGAGGCCCTTGAGTGCTCATTGGGGTTTGCTGACTGAATCACTGACAGCAATGATGGCTCACATCTGCGTCTCCTGTAGGATTCTTATAATGCACTTCTCTGTCAGTGGCCAGAAGTGTCCCCATACTCAGGTCTGTCTTCCTCAACTGGAAGGGAGATAGCATGTCTCTTAGGTGCTGACTGCCCGTACGACTCTGGGCTTCCAAGTCTTGAGTCTTCCCTCAAGTCTTGCGGCACTGTGGTTGTACGACACGGATGGGACAGCCACACCCTGGCCTCCTGCTTGGGTTCCAGGCAGAATGGAATGCTCCAGCGCTTGAGGCAGGCTGCCTGCTGCCCCTCTGCGCACTCCTTCCACAGATCCCTTCTGGGCTCTGGATCTGCAACCACGAGCCTGGCTCCGAGTTACCTGGGAGGCCCGAGGCCTGAGTGTCTTCCTCCGCTGCACACTCCCACAGACTGGCCCTGTGGGGCACCGGGGTACCATACCCAGATGTCACTTGGGCTGCCTGAGCTTCTCTGTCCTCTCATTTGTCCAGCGGGAGCCCAGTGGAGCTGTGCAAATGCTGCTGTGCATTTGAACCTCTGTGCTGGGGTGGAAAAGCCCAAGGCGCAGCACCCAACTCGGCTGTCCTAGTCCTTGGCTGGGAATGTCATTGAGCTTCTCCTCCCAGGCTCCCAACAATGGTGACTTCCTGCACTCACCACACCCAGCCTTTCCCTAAGCCAAGCTCCCCGGGAGGGGGCTCCTTGGCTTGACATCGAGAGGCCAGAGCAGGCGAATCCTGATGACTTACAGAGGGGCCGAGGCTGCTAAAAGTTCACCAAAGGCCTGGTTGGCTAGGGACAGGCACTGGAGCAGGGCTCTGCAGCATGAGTAGGAGCCTGCTGTTGGGGTGCATGCAGAGGCCAAGGCTTGGGGGGGGGGCAGAAAGGAGAGTGTATGTAAAGGCCTGGAGCAGGACGGGCTCGTGGGCAGGGTGCCAGGGCTGGAGGGGGGCAGTGGGAAGCCAGGGTGGGCACTTGAGCAGTGGAAACGCCTTGGGCAGCTGGGGCTGGGCTCCCTGAAGGATGCAGGAGACACCTGTGCCCGGAGCTGCCCCGCGGAGACCAGTGCTAAGGACTGGCCAGGCTGAAGTCAGATCCTGGCTCCGTGCCTGGCTGGCTGTGACCGTGGCAGTCACCTAATCTCTCTGGAAATCTGTGTCCGTGGGTTACATACAGGGTTGGTATTCTTGGGACTTGGGGTAGTTACTGACCCCTTGACCTTGCTTTTCCAGCTGAGCCCAGGGCGGAGTGGGGTTGACCCCAGGAATCTGTGTCCCATACTGGAGCAGCAGCAGCCCCAAGTCCAGGCCACCAGACCCTCTGCACAAAGCCTTTCCAAGCTGCATCTGCTTTGCTACCCAGCCCTGGAGACGTAGGCCTGGGATCCTGAGCTGGGACGGGCCCAGGTCTCTGATCTCACAGTCAGTGGATACCAACTAGGCTGGCTGGTTGAGGCTCCTGCACCGTGCCTGGCACACAGTGGTGCTGAGAGGCTGGGCCCTGGTGCCCTAGGCCTTTGCTTTTAGACCTATTGGTCTCACATCCGGGTCTTGTAAGGCCTAGGCTGTATGTGGAGAGCCAGCCAGGGAAGGAGGGCAGCAGAATGAGGCCCTGAGGTGAAAATGCTCTACCTGAAGAGGCCTGCAGCAGATCGTGCCTCAGGAACAGAGGCCCAGGGCACCCAGGGAACTTGGCTCAGAGCCTCCTGGCAGCCAGAGTGAAAGGAGAGCTTGAGGGTGATGTGGAAGGAGAGAACGCATAATCATTTGCTGGGAGAACAAAAGCCAGGGAGCTAGAGTGGGCAGGTGAGAGGCCCAGGTGTGAAAGTGCTTTCTCAGGAGCCCCTGTTTTGTGTGAACTTCACTCCGTAGCCTTTCTCATTGGAGGCCGGAAGCCTGGAACCAAGGTGACAGTGGGGCCGAGTTCCAAATGCCTGTGCCCTTTGATATCTAGACCAGGGTGGTCCTTGCTGGCCTCCTGGAGCCCCCAGTGACAGCCCTCTCCCCAATTCGACCTACCCAAGCCACTCTGATTTGGTCCACAGTGGGCTCAGGGACATCGAGGACCCTGTAGAGGACATCACCCAAAGCCCCAGGGCACAAGGGGACCATTTGGCCAGTGTTGCCCCCTCAGGGGAGTTCTCAGTTCAGTTGTTATTCACTTGTCTCTCTGTCTGTCCGTCCTTGCAGTTGGGGCGCGTGGTGCTCTCCCCGGTCTGGTTCCTCTACAGCCTGTTCATGAAGCTGTTCCAGCACTCCAGGCCGGCCATCACCCTCGAGAGCCCTGACATCAAGTACCCCCTGCGGCTCATCGACAGGGAGGTAGGTGACACCAGTCCCCTGCCTGGGTCAAGGGAGGTGGCAGAGGGCTTCAGACCCACTGTATGGAGGTGTTCAGAGAGAGAAAGACCTCCAGGACTTAGGGTCTATGTCTCCACTCAGCAGCTGGGAAGCAGGCTCCTGGAGAGGGAGAGCCCCCGCCCAGGGTTGTCTTGTGACCTGGTGCATGGGCTGTGTCTGTCCTTCCAGATAGACCTCACATCTGTCCTCCCTGCCTCCCTGGCTGCTGGTCGACTCCATCCCTAGTGACCGTCCCATCCCCCCTATTTATTTCTGGCCATGCCTAGCTGCTTCTGCAGGGGTGTGGCAGGGAACACTGAGTCACGGAGCAGAGTCATCGCTCCCAGGCCTGGCAGCAGTGTCCCTACCCTGTGCTTGGGGCTGTCCATTTCCAGCCCTTCTGTGTGGGAGGCTCAGGCCCCAGTGACTGTAGCCTCCAGCTTCCTATGACCCACAGGATACGTCTTTCTCGTCCTGAGAGTTCATAGAAAAATTGAAGATGAGACAGCAGTAAAAATCATGAAAGAGCTGCTGGCAGCTTCCAGCAGGGACTGCACTCAGTCCCTTGGTCATTTCTATACAAGGGGCGCACACAGTTTTATCCTTGAACAAATCGATCATGTTTTCAGAGTATTTTGTCATCTTTTCCTGTGTTACTGATGTTGAATCTAGAAGTAGGAAATGATTCGTAGAAGTTCACTATAAAAATTGTGTTTAAGAGCTGGGCATGGCCCCAACCCCCACGCCCATTAACCGCTGTGTCCCCAGGCCTGTCTGTGGGAGGCCCTGAGCGCAGGTGCTGTGAGCACCGTGTTCGTGCATGTGTAGATCTTGGAGCCTTTTTTTTTTTTTTTTTGCCTTTTTCGGCTTTTTAAGATAGGGTCTCTTGGGCCAGGGAGATAGCACAGCATACTGAATAAGTGCTTGCCTGGCAAGTGCGAAGTCCTGAGTTCAATCCCCAGTACTGCACAAAAAAAGATAGGGTCTCTTCATGCCTCAGCCTTTGAGCGCTGGAGCTTGGGCAGGCACTAGCACGCCTGGCAGCTTACATCCGTCTCTGCTAACCTGGAGTTCTCACCCTGCCATGTAACCTCGTGCCTTTTCCTGGCTAACCCGAAACTGCTTTGGTTTTGGGGTGGCTGGGTGCTGTGTGTCACAGGGATGGCACGCAGAGGACCCTCTTTCCCCTTGGGGGGATTTCATGGCAGTGAAGTCCATCCGCTGCCGAGCACGGGGCCCCACCACTGGCGGAGTTCACAGTGTTGAAGGGGCCAGTGGCCCTGACCGAAAGGCTAGTGAGTTCCTGGACTCGCTCCCAGCTCTGATCGCCCGGCTTGGCTGTGCCCTTGACCTTCGCCTCTGCTGGTGGCCACAGGGGTGGGTCTTTCTCATCCTGTCCTGGGCTGGGCACCCTCTCTGGAAAAGGAAGTTCTCCCTGGGCAGAGATGAGATGAATGGCCACCGCACTGTCCCCTGGGAGAAGCCTGTTGTCCCCTCCAGGAGATCCCATTCCTTTGGTCTATGAGCTTGCTGCGTGCAGGTGTGACATGGCTCCCTGGGCGCGTGAGTCCTCGTGGCCAGCTGTGCCGCAGGACCCTGGAAGCCACAGGTTCTGCCTGCCTCCTCACCTTCTCTCACCCTCCCTGAGGAAGTGGCTGCCACCGTCCCAGCTGATGGCCAGGCTCTGGCTGTGGCAGCCTCATGGGCATGAAGCGTGCCTCCTGTGTTCACCCGTGCTCCACCACCTGCCATGTGGCCTGGGAGTCGCCCTTCCCCTGGGGCCCACCAGCACAAGCCCACGTGTATGGCCTGACCCTGCACCCTCCTCAGGTCATCAGCCACGATACACGGCGCTTCCGCTTCGCCTTGCCATCCCCCCAGCACATCCTGGGCCTGCCTGTTGGTGAGTCCTGGGTCAGTAGGGAGTCCAGGGAGGGTGACTGCCCTAGCGGTGGCTGTGGCCCCATCAGGGAAGAGGTGGAAGGGAGTCTGCTAGGATATGGTGGGAGCCCAGGGCAGGACACGGGGCTGTGGGGTGATGAGGCACAGGGGTCATCCGCAGAGACCATTCCTGGCTGGGAGTGACCCCCCAACTCCCATCTCTCAGGCCAGCACATCTACCTCTCGGCTCGAATTGATGGGAACCTGGTCATCCGGCCCTACACACCTGTCTCCAGCGATGATGACAAGGGCTTTGTGGACCTGGTCATCAAGGTGAGGTCCCTGGCTCAGCTGAGGGGCAGGTGGTCCTGGCAATCCCTGGCAAAAGCCTCCAGGCACCCAGTGCCCCCTAGTGCCTGGTTTCTGAGGGGATTATAAATCGGGGTTGCCCTGGAGACAGAAGGTCCCTGCAGTTAGGGGCAGGGTTGGGGCTTGGCCGCTTCCTCACCATCCCTCACCCTCCCTGAGGAGGTGTAAGGAAGTGTGAGATGGGACGTGAGGTGCAGGCAGCTACTGCAGGGCCAGCAGTGGCCGGACCCCCTCGCTCTGGGTCAGGGGCCCAGTGACCTATTTCCCTAGCCTGTGGGTTGTGGCAGGGACCCTCTGACCCATGGGTGCACCAGGAGTCTGTATGGAGCCCGTGGCTGTTTGTAGACCTGGGTCCATCACCCACCTGGGGTGGGTGATAAACACAGCAGTGGGGGCAGTGCGGCTGTCAGGAGCAGCAGAATGGAGGGTCGGGGCACCTGACTGGGACCCCAAAAGAGATCCTACCACAGGGTGCGTGGGGGTGCATACCTGCAGTCCCAGCACTGCCTGGGAAGGCTGAAGCAGGAGGGTTTTGAGATCGAGCCTAGACTGGGCAGTTTAACCATTAGCAGTTGCAGCCTTAAAATGAAAGAAAGGTTAGGGACATAGCACAGTGCCATGAAAACCAAAAATACAAAAGAACAACGATGTCAGGGCCGGGGAGATGGCTCAGTAGGATAAGCGCTTCCTCTGCAAGCGCAAGGGTCTGAGTTCAATCCCCAGTTCCATCAAAAAAAAAAAAAAAAAAGAACAATGATGTCATGAAGAGTAGAAAGGGTAGGGGACATATGTAACAATGACACCACCTGGTCTTACCGAAGTCCAAAGAAGAGCTTTACCTGGTATTGCACCTTCTAAAAGTGAGAACCAGGCTGCTGGCCGTGGGGCACTGGGGACCACTGGAGCCCCTCATGGGGCTTCTGTATGTAGTTTGAGGCACAGGCTAGCGCTGTACCACTGGGCTGCACTCCAGCCCTGGCCCTTCTTGGAGACAGAGGACACACCTGTGGGTGACAGCTGAGTCCCTGAAACTCATGGGGTAACCACACCCATTGGATTTGGAGACCCTGGTTTGGTTGTTCTGGGACGGGGCACAAGGTTGTGTTGGGTGAGTGGGGTAGATGGGTTAGAGGAGCGCCCCGGTCAGTGGAGCAGAAAGAAGGAAAGGATGTATGCAAAGGCCCTGGGAGGGCCCAAGGGTGCTTGGGGACAGGGCGTGAACAGGCGGGGGCTCAGGGCCCCATGGGGCGATGGGAGAGAACATAGCCTCTGGTGGCCTCACAGGCCCCAGAAGGGCTCTGTCCAGAGAGTCAGAGTCCTGGATTGGTACAACGTGTTCCGCCTGCCTGTCCCCTGCCATATAATCCCCATGCCTGGTGTCCTCTCCCTGCTTCCTGCTTTTCTACCCTTATCTCAGCACCCGCTGCCCGTCCCTGGCTCCACAGAGGCCATCCTGTCTCTGTGTATCCCTTTCCCCAGAGGAGTGTGGTCCCCATTCTGCAGGGAGGGGAGCTGTCCCAAGAGCTGGGCCTAGCCTGTGCTGTGGTGGCGAATGTGGGGGCTGCTGGGGCTGGGGTGGCTCAGCAGAAGGTGACACACCCCGAAGCACCAGGCAGATGCCTTGCCTGGCTAGCATATTCGTAGGTGGGGGACAGACCGGGGCACAGGAGGAGGATGGGGAATCTGATGGGCAGTGCACAGGGCACCATAGGAGGCAGCCACAGGGGCCTCGAGGCTGGGTACCCTCAGGGCTGGGTACTGAGGGCCACACACGTGTCTCACAGGTCTACTTCAAGGACACGCATCCCAAGTTTCCTATGGGGGGGAAGATGTCTCAGTACCTGGAAAACATGCAGATTGGAGACACCATCGAGTTCAGAGGCCCCAATGGGCTGCTGGTGTACCAGGGCCGAGGTGACTTGGGTTGGGAGCTGGGGATGGGTGCGGGTCCTGCAGCTGCTGGTAGAGGGTGACCACTGGGAAGCCTCACCCCCCTGAGCCCCAGTCTCCTTGCAGGGAAGTTTGCCATCCGGCCTGACAAGAAATCCAACCCTGTGATCAAGACGGCCAAGTCAGTGGGCATGATTGCAGGAGGAACAGGTAGGGGGCGTCACATGGGGAGGCAGGCCAGCGTACCCTGTCCACAGCAGATGCTCAAATGGACGCTGTTCCGCAGGCATTACCCCCATGCTGCAGGTGATCCGTGCCATCATGAAGGACCCAGATGACCATACCACGTGCCACCTGCTCTTTGCCAACCAGGTCGGTAGACGCTCCTTAAAGCGTGCCCTGCTTTTGAGAGGAGACTTGGGCCTTGTCCAGTGTTCAGCGGTCAGCTTGGCTCTGGAGGTCTTGGGGTGATCGGGAGGGGCTCTGTGCAGCAGCAGGAGAGGCCCCGGCAGCGTGAGGACCCTTCCGCTGTGGCTCAGGTCGTCTTGTCCCAAGGGTCCTTCTAGCTCACACTGCCACCTGCCATCTGTGAGGCCATCCACCCTGACAGGGAGGGCTTGCCTGAGTCCTTGTCCCTGCACAGCTGTGGAGACTCCCCCGGTCCCCTGTGGGGGAGGTCCTAGGCAGGGTGCTGCCATGCTCAGGGCCTAGAAGCCAGCAGACCCCTCGTTCCTCTATAAGGCGTCTTAACGCTGTCACTACTGGCTAGGACAGTGGCGTGGGGCTCTGTGGGGCTCTGGACTAGGGCTCAGGGAGGGCTGGGCCACACGTCTGCTGGGAAGTCAGGAAGCAGGACTTGAACTGGGCACTTTGTAATTATCTGGGTACCTGGCATGGAGCCCAGGACCTCAGGCATGGTAGGCATGCTTGACCACTGAGCTGCACCCCCTTTTTTGTGGAAGCAGAAATTGAGCCCAGCACCTTTGTACTGAGCTACAACAACCAGCACCTTCCTTTTTGTGTTTTTTGATAGCCCCCTTTTTAATTTTGAGGCGGTGTCTTGCTAACTAGCCAGGTTGGGCTGGAGCTTGTGATCCTCCTGCCTCAGCCTCCAGAGTATGGAGATTACCGGTCACCACGGCCAGCAGGGGGTGGCCCCCAGTGGGTGCGATGACCCTTGACCCTGTCCCCCTGCAGACTGAGAAGGACATCCTGCTGCGGCCCGAGCTGGAGGAGCTGAGGAACGCGCATTCCGCTCGCTTCAAGCTGTGGTACACGTTGGACCAGGCCCCTGAGGGTGAGCGCCGCGCTGTGGGGAGGCAGGTGGCTCTTGCCGGCTAGGAGGGGCAGCAGCCTGGGGCCCTGGCTCAGCTTTGCAACTGTCCTGTGGATACAGCTTTGGGGTGGAGCCAGGGCCACTGGAGAAAGTGACTTAGGGCTACGCCCCCAACCTGAAATGATGTCACCCTCGGAACACCCTGCCCTTCGTTTCCTGTCCAGTGCAGGAGGAAGAGGGCTATCTGAAGGTCCCTGCGGGCTCACAGGTGATTCCTGGGCTGTTTGGCCCCAGGGTCGGGGACTGCAGGGCCTGATGGGGACAGCAGTAAAGGAGCCTCTGCCTTGTGTGTGTGGAGGGAACAGGATGGGACGGCACGTAGTCCTGTCCCACTTGGAAGTGGGCAGGACTGTGGGGTCCTCCCTTCTGACCAGGTTCTTGATGTGCAGCTATTTCCAGGTTGGAGATGGCCTCCGGCAGAGAGGGGCTGGTGCCCCCTGCTGGTGGTGCACGGGGATGCAGGTCACTTCCAGGGAGAGGGTCCCTAACACCTGCTGAGTACTGGGTGTAGGGCAGAGTCGGGCAGGCTCCCTGTGCCCTCTGCTTACAGAGGCTTTGCCAAGCCCCGGAGCCAGGCATGAGCTTGGAGCCAGCGGGGACCCTGGCCAATGTGAGAGCAAGGTGGCTTCCATGCCACACGTGTCACAGGCCAGCAAGTACGGCTCATTCCCGGGCAGCTTGCTACAGGGATGCCCACCAGATTGCTGAGCTGTAGACATAGGCTCTGTGTGAGCCCACCTTGGGCCGGAAGGGATCTGAGTCAGCCCGTGGAACTCACCTGTGTCAGGAGTGGTGCCAGCCACGAAATGCATGGCAGGGCCATGACGTGGAATCGGGACTGAGGCTTGGGCAGAACCGTGGCCTAGCTTTGGTGGGGTGTGGTGGTTTACACCTAGAATCCCAGCACTCAGGAGGCTGAGGCGGGAGGATGGCTGTCAGTTCCCGGTCAGCCTAGACAACACAGTGAAGCCTTGTCTCAAAAAGCTCAGAGGCATAGGCATCTGCCTGGCATGCGCAAGGTCCTGAGTTCAATTCCCAGCACCCATCCCCCCCAAAAAGACTTGTTTCAGGGCTGGGAGGAGCTCAGCGGCGAGTGTCCCTACCTGCAAGAGGTTCCAGGTTCCAGGCCCAGAAGCACAACAAAACAGAAACACCTGGGCCTCCTCTCCCTGCTCACACAAGAGCCAGGTGCCCACGCAGCAGGGTGGCCTCTGTCACTTGGCCTCTCTACCATGTCCCTGTCTTAACCTAGTTCTGAGTCTCCCTGGCCTTGTTTCCACGTCTGTAGAATGGGACCAAGGACCCTTTCTCTGTGGGAAGAGAGAGGCCAGATGGAGGTAGAAGGCTTTGTGCCCGTTAAAGTGCGGGGCAGGGAGCTGGGGAGGGATTGCATCGGGTTTCCGGCAGCGGTGCTCGTGAGAGGAATCGCAACCCCGTGCGCAGAGGACTCGGGCAGGCAGAGGCCAGAATCACCCTCGGTTCCCCATCTTCCCACAGCCTGGGACTACAGCCAGGGCTACGTGAACGAGGAGATGATCCGCGACCACCTCCCGCCGCCGGGTGAGGAGACACTGGTGCTGATGTGCGGGCCGCCGCCCATGATCCAGTTCGCCTGCTTGCCCAACCTGGAGCGCCTGGGCCACACCAAGGAGCGCTGCTTCTCCTTTTGAGTGGCTGCCACCCTGCCTGCCCACGCTGTCACCCACGCCGTCCTCCACTGCCACCTGCCCACCGAGGCCTGGTTCAGCTCGGCCTGCCTGTGCCCCGGTGGAGCTGCTGGGGACATGCCTGTCCCTGCCCTGCGAACCCCACTCTGGGTCCCAGGCTGAGGTCACTAGATCCGTATGCTGCCTGGCCCTGGAAAGCGGGGAGCCAGAGCTTCGGGGACCAGGAACCCAGCCTGACACCCGTCACGGCCACCCTTGCTGACACTACACGAGACTGACACCAGAAATCCTCTCCCAGAGCCCACAGGCCCCGCCAGCTGGACCCCCCTGTCTCGGGACCCCAGCATTTCCCCGGAACCCCCAAACACTGAGGCAGCCCTGGGTGTCCCAAGTGGCCAGCCTGGCAGAGTTCAGAGGGAAACACAGTCACAACATTGGTCCCTCTGTCCCGTGCCTGCCACCCTGCCCCGCAGGAGACCTGTGAGGTGCCTCTCGTCTGACAGACGTCCTTGGTGGCCTTTAGCCAGCTGTGTCCGCCTTCCGCGTAGCGGCTTTTTCAGTCATGTATGAGCAGACAAATAATTGAAATAAAACTTTGCTACTAAACCCTGCTGCAGCCCGGGTGCTCCGTGGTCGCTCCCCTGGCGTTGGGATGAGCCTGTCTCGGTTACTTTCCTCTTGTTGCTGGGACAAAACACCTGACACCCAAAATTAAGGAAGGAAAGGCTTGTATAGCTTACGATTAGTGGAGGTGTCAGTCCATACTGGGCTGTCTCCAACGCAGAGTGGCCCTTGGAAGAGAGCGGCTGTTCATTGCTGTGGAAAACAGCAGCCTGTACGTACTACCTGCCCCAGGGCGGCTGCGGCACTCCCACCCACAGTCCCAGCAAGGGGTCGTGAGCTAATGGCGAACTAGAAGCTCACCCCGACTGCATGAGGCTTTGGTGGGACTAGACACAAACCGGAACAGCATCTTTTCAGGGTAGCCTGTGAGCTGTGGAGGGTCACAAGTACCTGGTGGCGACAGACATGGCTGGAAGCTGGGGTGGCCACTCTCCCAAGCCCAAGAGGGCCCAGAACCCGGCAAGCTCCCCGCTGTGGGCTCTAAAGCTGTTTCCAGGTTGTGGGTTGGCGCTGGCAGCTCCCTCTCCGCTCTCTTGTCAGGGTTTTGCAGTGCTGGGGGTGGAACCCAGGGCCTCAGGCGCCTCAGCCCACAGACAGTGACCTTTCGGATTGGCCCCCGCCTTGCGTGCCGGGCGCTCAGCTTTGAAGCCCTGTCCAGTGCCTAGTGTGGGTGGATGCCCTCCTCAGCCTGTGTCTGGGCCCCCAGGGTTTTTGTGTTTTGTTTTGTTGAGACAGGATTTTGCTATGTAGTGCAGGCTGGTCTTGAACTCACTTATGTAACTCAGGGTGACCCTGAACTCACGAGATCCTCCTGCCTCAGCCTCCTGAGTGTTGGGATGACAGACTGACACTGCCTCCTCCTTGGGGACTAGGCTAGGGTGTGGCTCCCTGTGGCAGGCCCAGATGGGTGTCCCATGGTGCCCCACCTGCAGGAAGGAATGCTTGGCAAGCCACTGTGCCCCGACACCCCTCCAGTCTCACACTCTTCTACCCTCTGAGGATGAGGAAACAGGACCAAGAGGGTCAGGGCTTGACCAAGGTCCTGCCTGGGCCTGTCCAGGAGGACAGAAGGGGATGAGTTGGGCCTGGTCCTCGCCCCCAGCACAGTCTCAGCTTCCTCACCTGGAAAATGGGCGCATGATTGCTTGGGAGGTTCTGGCTTGGGTTCCATCCCAGTGCCACACAGAAGGGTAGGGAGGGTGAACCCCTTCCCTGGCCCTCAGTCTCCCCTGCAGCCTGGAGTGACCCCATGCACACCTGAAATTTTAATGTTATAGTTAAGTTTATTGGTACATTTCACGCATGTGTAATGATCGCTTTTTTCACAGCATTTGTCCCTGCCTGTGACGCATCTTTTTTTTTTTTTTAAGTCTTATTTGGTGCGGGGTCTCACTAGCAGCTCAGCCCCCCAGCGCGGGGATTATAGGTGTGCGCCACCTCACAGTGCGGCTGCGGGAGCTCGAACCTAGGTCCCTCCGCTCGCACCCTGCCCCCTGTGATCCACCCTGAGTCCTCTATCGCCCTCCCCTCCCTCCAGCCCTTCTCCCTCCATTACAAAGCTTTGCTTGCTTGTGTTTCCTTCCTTCTTTTATTTGAGACAGGGTCTCGCGACGCAGTTCAGGCTGGCCTTGTGTGCACTTTCCAAGCCCCCAGGCTGATCTGGAACTCAAAGTGATCCTCGGGTCGCAACCTCCCGAGTGCTGGGATGACAGGTCCGGTTCCATTTTTCCTTCTTTTCTCGTTTTTTCTTTCCCCTTCCTTCCTTTCTCCGCGCCCCGCCCCCGTTCCCCAGTCCTGTTGAACAACTTCTCCCCATTTTACGTCTTCTATCGCACACACTGATAGCTTCGGACCCGAGTACCAACTGTTAAATGCTCACGGCCCTGACTCGGCACGGCTGAATCCCCCAAATAACAGCTTATTCCCCAGAGCACACCTCCTTCACCCGCACCCCAGCCCTGGATACCTTTCCCAGGCCACAGGGGAGCCCCCGTCAGCTCCTAGGTGTCACTGCGCCTGCCCCTCAGCCCGCCCCTAGACGAAGTCCCCGCAAAGGCTCGGCCGTCCCTTGTCTCCGGTCTGCGCATCCCCCCGATCGCCCTCGGCTCTCTCCAGGTGCTCCGAGTCCAGAAGCGCCTCGTCTATCTTTCCTGTAGAAAACCCCCAACGCGCTGCAGTCCTCGTTTACCCTGCAGTTTCTCGCACCGCAGACAGCTTGCGTCACGCGGCACGAAGGGATCACAGCGACGCCTTGCACCGCACGCGCTGCGCGCCGGCCCCGGAGCGGCTCGGGATCGGCCCGGGGACAGCCCCGAGGCACGTGACGTCCAGATTCCGCGCTTGGGTGCGGCTTTCCGAGGCGGGGCAATGCCCAAAGGAAGCGGGCCAGGTCCTCCGACCGCACGTCTCCCGATGTTATAATCTGAGTAACAAATTAACAGGGTGTCACAGCGCTTGGGGCTAAAGTGTTCAGACTGGGCTCACAGTTGTGAGGCTCTCGCCTGCACCGCCAAGCGCGCCACGTCTTCTCACTATTCAGTAGGTGACGAAGTGCGAAGATACAAGCCTCGTACAGCAAGGGTGGTGTGCGTTCCCCGCGCATCGTAAATCATTCTACCGAATCCTCAATCCCGCATTTGTGGTAATTCTCACTATCACAATTTCCAGGTGATTAGGCAAGGAACAGACTGGTCTACCTTTTCAGAGCATGGGGGACGGGCAGATCGCGACTCCCAGGCATCCCGCAAAGTAGGCGGGTCACCTTAGGGGCAACCTTTACCCGCTCAAAAATTCGTCTCACATTAGCAGTGAGGATTCGGGCGTCACCCCGAATCGTTATTTTCCTTACTCATAAGTTTAAGGCATAAAGAAACATTTCGCTTTCCTCTTGGGTAACGAAGTCCATTCTCATTTGACCGACGGTGAGTATCAAGTTGCTCACTGTACGAGCATACGCGTTCCCTTGAAGTTTATCTTATTTGTTTGGAACTCTTAATGTCGTTTTAAATTTTATTTGGAGAAGAGAAAAGCCCCACCGTTCTCCCATGTGGCGTATGCAAATAGTTAGCATCGCGAGGGCTCACGGGAAGCGGCCCCGCCCCTTCCGGTCCTTGGCTCATTTAAACTGTCGCGAGAGTAGGTTGGCCGGACGCCGGAAATAGCTCGTCGCTCGGTAGCTGCCGAGGGGGCGGGCTCGCGGTCTTCAGGCGTCTAAGCTGCTCTCGGGTCGCTCGGCGGCGCAAGATGGCGGACATCTCCCTGGATGAGCTTATCCGCAAACGCGGAGTGGCGACGAAGGGGCGGTGAGCAGCTTTTTCTGACTTCAGGGCTCGGGGTCCGCAGCCTAGCGGGTTCGAGTGGAGGGGGGAGCGGCCCCGACGCGACGCGAGGGCCGTTTGTACCCGCCCCCTGCTTGAGCCGCGCTCCTCATTGGCCCAGTGGCTGCCGCCGCCGCGGCTCCCGGGTCGCCCGCCCACTGCCGGAGGTGCAGTTGCTGGGGTGGTCGGGGGACGTGGGGGTGCGGCGGCGGGACGCGGGGCGCTGGGAGAGGGCTGGGGGAGGGGTTGTCCGAGGGCCGCCTGCGGGAGTCCGGGGCGCCGCCTGTCCCCGCCCCCCTCGGAGTTGGGACGGCTGAAGTTTGAGGGAGAGTGTCCGCACAGAGCGGAGCGGGGACTCCAACCCAGACCTGTGAACCCGGACCGACGCCCGCCCGCCTCTCCACGCTGCTGGTTGGCCTCCCCCCTTTTGTGCGGCGCTTGAAGTTTTTTCTCGCTCTCAGGCGCATCGGCTTTTTCACTGCTGCGTGTTCCTTTACTTATTTTGAAAAATATTTTTATTTATTTATTATTCGGTACAGGGTATTGCTTCGCAGCTCGGACTCGTGATCCTCCCGCCTCAGCCTCCCCAGCGCTGGGATTACAAGCGTGCACCACCACGTCTGCTTTCCGTGGCCGCCACGGCGTGCAACCCGGGTCGTTGAGCTTGCTAGGCAGGCGCTTAGGCCACTGATCTTCCCCAGCCCCTCCTTTACTTTTGCTTTGTAGTCCAGGCTGTCCTTGAACTCTTCGATAGCCCAGATTTGCCCCGAAGTGATCCCCCTGCCTCAGCCTCCCCAGTGCTAAAGTTACAGGCGGTGACTTACTAAATCCTCATTCTGTAAATGGGGAAGTCGAGGCCGTAAGTGCAGGCCGCTGAGAACTGTCAGTGCTCCCTGATGCTAGCTGAGTGGCTCTCAGGCAAGGGCAGCTGGAGGTTGGCCTCTCCCTTGGGCCAGGTTCCCCGGAGCCGCTGAGGAGAAGCTGAGGGTGAGTCACGTTTGTGTTCTGCAGGCTCTGCAGACCCTTAGGTATTTTCAGCCATTTGCAAGTTTTGGAAGCTAAGTTCGCCTGTGTGAAGGAGTGGGAACTTTACCAGTAGTTTTCCAACGCCATTATAAACAGGTAGGCTGTAGGGTTGTCACGTTTTTCTCAGACATTCACTCACCCACCAGATGTTTGATAATATCTCTTCGTGCCTGTGGCTAGAAAATTTTTTTTTTTTTTTTTTTTTTGAGTCAGGGTCTTGGCTTTGTAATTCAGGCTGGCCTTGAACTCACAGTCATCAGCCTCCCTAGTGCTAGGATTACAGGTGTGCGTCACAACGCCCAGTGAAAATCTTCATGTGAAGGGCTCCACCTCTTGGATCAAGCATATCCATCACATGGTTCTTGGCCTCTGGTCATACCAACAGTTATGTTTCTTCAGCTGGGTCTTTGCCTAGTCCCCAGGGCTGGGTCCTCAGTGTTTCTAAATCCGCAGGTTCTTAGCTTGATGGTAGATTGAGCTGCCTCCCTGTCCTGCTCTCTGGAATTGGTCCCCTTGGTGCCATCCACGCTCTGGTGTTCATGGTGTTATGCTGGGCTGGATAAGGCTTCAGGGATTGGTGTGGAGTCTCAGAAATAGGACTGTGACCCTGACGCTGTGACTTCTGGAGGGGGACGTTGTCCTGGCGTGTGTTGAATTAGTGGCAGGTCCTCAAAGGCATAAACATGAGCCTTTGTATTTTAACATTTATACCAGCCATTGTGTTTCAAAAATGATGGTAGTGCCCACACACTTTCCTAAGAGTGACAAAAGTAAGAGGTCCCACGAGCAGACTAGGGAAGGAGTGGCTTTCTGCCCTCCATGTGGCCTGTCTCCTATATGTAGCCTGCAGGGCACACCTGCTGTGCAGGCCTGGGGCCTCCTGTACTCTTGGAAAGAGCCAGGCAGCTGCTGAGAGTCAAGTAGGCTTCACTCTTGGAGCCATCAGTGTGGAAAGTAGTTCAGGTAAACGTGCAATGTGACCCAGGTTCCAGTGTGCATGTATTGCTTTGCTGTCTTGTGAGAGGGTTGGATGCCAAGTGCAGGAGGAATCTGCGAATTGGGGGAAATCTGGAAATGCCAGGGCCGGCCAAAATGGCTCAGTGGGTCAAAGTGCCTGCTGCATCGGCCGGTGGCGGGCGTTTGATCCCCAGGCCAGCCGGGCCCTGCACTGAGACTAGGCATAGTGGCACTCACCTGTAATCCCAGCACTTGGGAGGCTGTAACAGGCAGATCACTACTAGTCCGATTTAGTAATAAGACCCTGAACACCCTGTAGACCCTTCCCTAAAATACAAAAATAAATAAATAAATAAAAATACAAAACAAACAAACCAAAAACCCGTAAGTTTTGGGGCCAGGGAGATGGCTCAGTAGAATGAGCGCTTACCTGGCAAGCACAAAGGCCTGAGGTCAATCCCTAGTTCCACCAAAAAAAAAAAAAAAAAAAAAAAGGAAATGCCACTGGCTTTCTGGCTTTCTTCTCGGCCAGCAGAGAGAAATAGTAGAGCTCTGTGAAGATACAGAGGAGCTGGAGCGGGTTGCAGTGAATGCATATCATTTCCCACAGAAAAGTCACGCACACTGTGGGAGCCCTGCTCCGGATGTTGCGTGGACATCCAGGGAGAGTTTGGTGGCAGTCAGGTTCTTCCTGTGTTGCTGTCACAGACAGGTTCTTCCTGCCTAAGGGAGACAGCATCAGTGCTGCCCCAGGAAGCTTCAGCAGCCTTGTCCCCAGCTGGTCGATCAGTTGGGCAAGGACAGCATCTGGAAATGGTGCACATTTTCCTAGCAGCATCCACTTAACCCAGAGGAATTCCTTGATTACTGGGAAATTTAGGGTGAGAAGAGTGGCTTTTTTCCAGGCCTGGTGAGACACTGTCCTGTCCCATTCATGGAACTTCTGTGGTGACTTCAGGTGTGAGTGACCTGCCCCCTGGCGGGGGGGGGGGGGCACTGGTCACCCCTCCATACCACCCCTGACTTGTGATCTGAGAGACCCCTAATGGTCCAAGGCAACCTTCGATGTGCTCAAGTCCTCCAGCTGTGGGTGCTGGCTGCTGCCTCTGGCATGGGGCTGAGCCAGGTAACCCCCATCCCTGGAGCTTCAGGTGGGGCGGGGGAGTAAGAGGCTGATCATGTTTCCATGTTGTGATGAGGTTCAATGTAGACTGGCCACAAGTGAGTTATAAAGAAAATGGCTAAGGGAGCGTGGTGGCGGGTGCCTGGAATCCAGCACTCGGGAGGCTGAGGCAGGACTGCCAAAAGTTCAAGGCCAGCCTGAAGTATGGAGTGAGACCCTATCTGAAACACACGCATACACACACACACACACACACACACACCCCTATCAAAATTAGAAAATATGAAGTCTGCACAGAACTTCTGGGGATTGGGGCTGGGGAGATGGCTCAATGGAATAAGCACTTCCCTGGCAAGTGCAAAGGCCTGAGTTCAATCCCTGGTTCCGCAAAAAAAAAAAAAAAAAACTCCTGGGGATAGAGCTGATGTCCTTGTGTGTTGTTTTTCTTCCTGTCTTTGAAGCACCCAATTCAGAGTTGCTCCTTAGTTGCATTTGCTCCCTGTGACATGACCTGAGCTCAGACCCTCTAATACAGAGACTACCATGGGCTAAAGTCCTTGTAGCTAACCCAGGCCCCGCTTCCTGAGTCTGATCCTTTGGACTGGGCCTTTGTCTGGAGCCCACCCAGCCCTGCCCACTGTGGAGCCAGTCCATGGGGCTTTGCCACATTCCCGTGAGGGGCGGGCAGGTGGGGAAGAGAGCCCCAGGCCCAGTGGGGTGTTTGTCCTCCTGCAGGTCTCCTGGTCCTCACCCTGGGACCCTTGGGATAAGTCAGGAGGACTTGGAGAGAGTTGAGGAGTTGCACTGCTGACACTGTTGGCCGAAGCGGGGCAGTTAAGACTTGCTCAGAACCTCCCCCTGCACTCATACATGCACTCGCGCATGCTGCCCCAAAGGGTTAGGAGCAGAGCCTGTCAGGGTCTGTGCCCCCCGCAGTGGGAGTGGGGCTCCCCAGGGCTGGGCTTTGGTAGGAGCCAGAGCAACTCTGGAGGGGAGCACAACTGACCCTTGTGATTTAAAGACCCACCCTAGCGGGAGTGTTTATTTGAAACATTCCTGATGACTCATGCCTGCCTTATAACTGGTACTGCTGCCTGCTGGGATGAATAGCTGTCTTCATGCAGGCAGAGGAGCTGCGGGGATACAAAGCTAGAACATGGAAGCCCCTAAATCTGCTGGGGAAAGGAGCTGAAAGAACGCAGCTCCTCGCCCTCCCTCCCTCCTGCAGATCTGCTTCTCTCTGGCTCTTCAGATCCCCCACGCACGATGGTCACCTAGATGGTGACACCTAGAAATGCCAAGTCTACCTGGGTTTGTGTAGGTCTCATGTTTCTGAGTCTCTATAATCTCAGTATACAGGAAGTGAGTCAGGAAGGTTGCTGTGAGTTCGAGGCCAGCCAGTTTTGAATATTCAACTTTCTTTCAAAATTTTTGGTGGAGCTGAGGGTTGAACAGAAGGAGCCAAGGCCTGGGCCAAGCTCTGCCTCTGGGCTAGGCCCCTTATGACGTCGCCCTGTCACCTCTTAGGTGTCTGGAGCAAGTACTGTCTGTTGACTGCAGACCTCAGAGCTGTCTACTTTTCTGGTGCTCAGTGCCCTGGAGTGGCTGCTGCTGAGCGGGGACCTTCAAAGCGGGGGCACCCGCCCTTTAAGTGTAGGCTTTTCCCTTTGAACTGCAATGAACCAGAAAACTTGAAGCTGCTCTTTTCCCATTCCCCATAGGAAGTTTGTTTTCAAGAATCCCTTTCCTTTCCTTTCCTTGTTTGTTTGTTTGTTTGTTTGTTTATCTGTATTTTAAGGCAGGATCTACAGGGTGTTTAGGGTCTCACTCCATAGATCGGACTCAGTGATCCGCCTGTTTTCAGCCTCTCAAGTGCTGG